CCTTCACAGCACCTAAATTAGTGTTTGATTGACTACGTGGGGCAGAGGGGTATACCCCAACATGAGGGAATCTTGGGGCTCAATTTAGGATTCTACCTTCCATGAATAGTGTCTCCCACCTCCAAGGACCTGAGAGTCTTAGTTCCTGAAAATCATAAGGGAGTTTATTCATGTCCATTCTATTTTATTGACATTGGTGAAGGGGAAGATTACCACCTTCTGACCAGGAATGGCACCCAACTTCCTGAATTCAAAGCTTGGCTGTACTACTTAATTAATGATCTGACCTTGGGTGTGTTACTCTGCTTCTCTCTGCCTTAGTTTTCTCATCTGTAAAATGACATGGAGTTAATAATAAAATTTTCCTCGTAGGGTTTTATGCTCAATTTAGTAATACCTAGAAAACTCTTAGGACAGAGCTTGGCATTTAATAAAGTGTGTTAAAAGTGTTTACTTTTTAATAAATGCATTTTGATTTGCATTTACATAATTCAGGTGAGTTAAGCATGTTAATAGGATTTCCTATTATAAAGAACCCACAAAATAAGAATAGAATTTTTCTTTCATGGCCTTAATTTTTTATTTTTAACTCACTACTCTATTACATGTATATGCCTTTTATGGTAAGCTGCCACGAAAGAGCAGGATTTAAATAAATCTGTAATGTGCTAATTTAATATGTTTTTGGTAATTTCAGTAGCATAGTATGATATTATAAGCAGTAGACTATAATCCCAATATCTGAGTTCACTTCTGGCTTTGCCCCTAAATATTTGGTAAGATCTGTGGCTAGAAGAGCTTTTGTGGATAATATTGTGAATTAGTTATAATATTTACTCTGCTTCTTCATATTAGGAAAAACTGGAGGAGTGCCTAAAGCAGTTAAAGGAAGAAAGAGTAATAAGGCTTAAGGCTGATAAACGAGTCAGTGAGGTAAATAACAGTTTTTTCTTATATTTTGAGAATTTTTTGCTTTTTCTTGGTTCTGTTTTGTGTTTATTTTAAGCCATCCTCTCTCTCTCTCTCTCTCTCTCTCTCTCTCTCTCTCTCACACACACACACACACACACACACACACACACACACACACACACACACACACACTTTATAAACTTTAAAGTGAGAAAATATAGTGTGTTACATGTTGGTTGCACTATGTTAACCTTTGTACTTGCTTATATTTATTGGTCATGTCAATATATTCCAAAAAGTATGTTTTAAAAAATGTAAACATTGTGGTTTGGGGTTTTTTTCCCTGTGGTTTTTATATAACTGCAGCTTATTTTTTGTTCCTGATGCTTCAATTCAAGAATGCACTTCTTAGGCTTATTCTCTACATACAGTAACATAAAAGAAGGTAATGAGACTAGCTACTGACAGTAAATTAGAAAAATGAATAATTTAAGTAAGTGTAAGATAATGGAAAACTGCTAATAATGCAATAAAAGATAAAAATCTATGAAGATTAAATTAGGCTAATGTGCCTGAAAGCAGGGCATAAGCTAGAAAGTTCTATATAAATACAATTTGTTATTACAATGTGAGTTTAAGGAGGAATTTTAAGTGTAAGCATTGGATTGGAGGACACTTACTTATTTAATAAATATTGAGCATCTGATTGTGTAAGGCAAAAGTGCATTGTGAACAAAATGGCCTTTCTGAGAAATACTGGAGTTGGCTTACATGTGGTTTTAGGTGAATAGATGATGAGGGGGAGGAGCATGCAGGGGAGTAAATATTTTCAAAAAGCCAAGGGTGAGCGTGTTGGTAATTGTACAGTTAATAAATTGAGTATGATTTAGGACTTCTAAACTTACATGTTACAAATATTATGCTGGCTAAAATTAATCCTTAATATTCAGCAGAATTGTAATATGCTTTGTTCAAATCAGACTCTATTTTTCATTTTTTAATTTAAGGGTAACCTTAAGCAGCTATTTTCTAATGTAGATTGATCTGGTTTGAATTTAACCAGTTAGAAATCTGATCTTTTAAAAGATTATTAATAAAACAGTAACTTTCTTTTATACACTACCTAAGTGTTATGTAGGAAATTTTGTCAGATGTCTCCAGGTTTTGATTGTTATGTGATACAGTCACCTGTCTTTTCTGGTGGAGAGTTAGATTCATTACAAGTTAATGACATTTTAAAATGTTTTATTGTAGTTTTTTACTTAAAAACTATTTTCTTTTATTAACATGGCCCCTGTGCAACGATAACACACAACTTTGTGAAACATTCCATATTAAAAAAAGCACAGAACTGTTTTCTTTTGATGACAATGAGAGAAAATAATGTCACACATTTTCAATCTTCTTTTATAGCTGGAACATGAAAATTCCAAGTTAAGAAATATAAATTTATCTTTGTCTGAAGCTCTTCATGCACAGTCATTGACAAGCATGATCCTGGATGATGAAGGTGTTTTGGGAAGCATTGAGAATTCTTTTCAGAAGTTTCATGCTTTCTTGGATCTCCTTAAAGATGCGGGGTTAGTTCATTTCTCTGTGGCATTCTTCCCTCCATGACTTTAATGGTATTTGCCGGGGAGCCTGAGCAATTTCCATAGCTTCCACAAGTCATATATAGTATATAATTATAAGGAATATATTTGATTTTTTTGAAAGGGAAGTTAATTTAAAAAGAAATACAAAATGGAAAATCTGCCTTGGTATAGAGCCCATTATAAAAGAGTAATCTTTGGATAGAGTAGTGAGTAGGCATAATTCCTGGTAAAGACTAAATTGAAGGTAATTTTAAATATTTAGGAATATATAGGAATTTTCCTGTCTTGTTAAATAAGTTTGAATTAAAGTTATTTTTATCCTAGACAATAAAATTGATATTAATCTGCAGGGTAGATACAGGTACAGATACAGACTAGTGGTTCTCAACTGGGAATGATGTTACTGAAAGATGCTGAGAGAGCTGGAGATAGATAATTGATGAGTGGTGTTTTGTAGGTGAACGGGTTGGTGCTGGGAAGGAAGGAACAAACATTCTTGGACAGTGGAGGAAAGGTGGTAAAGTTGTATGGCAGTGGAGGTGAGAGGCTCTAGTGATAGAAGCTGGAGCTGCTAGTGGGACAGTATTTAATGGGGAGAGGTGATACGGAAGGAAATAAAGCCAAGTGGTGGGAAGAGGAAGTGCTTAAAGGATTGGATGATCCAATGTGGTTCCAGAGCATGAATATGGGGAAGGTCTGAGAAACTGGGAGAGATGGGGGGTTATAGTCTGGAGTAGGATATTGGCTTTTAAGCTTTTACAAGTATCTCATGCTGATAGGTATGGGGAGGTCTAAGCTGTTCATATGTGATTATAATAACCCTTACCTTTTCTTTCTTTCCTCCTCTTGACCAGGCTTGGGCAGCTTGCCACAATGGCTGGTATAGATCAGTCAGATTTTCATTTATTAGGTCGTCCTCAGATGAATTCTACTATTACTAGTCCACCTAAAGAGGAAAAGAAGGCACTTGAAGAAGAAAAACCAGAACCAAATCAGAATGCCCTAGGACAAATGCAAAATATCCAAGTAAGTGGACAGAACTTATCGATTCTAAGAGTAATTAGCAAAATGGACAGAGAGCATAATGATCTGTCTCTAATAATTCATATGCCTGGGGGCCAGAAGCCTCTTTGGGGTCCTTTTCAAATCTGAGATTATAGTAAGTTTGTGCCCATTTGGGGTTATTATATTGTTGTAAATAAGAAAACTGGAAGTTTTTTGAAAATTTATGTTTTAAAGCAGACTATCCTCAGTGAAGAAAGAAATGAAAGATTAGAGAAGATATTCCAGATTTTAAATTTTGTAAATGTCTATTCTATTCACATTTCATCTAGGTTTCTATTTGTATGCAGTCAGCTTACAATGAAGGAACACTAATGAAGGTACAAGTATTGATACAGAAGACTTTTAAAATAAGTAATCCAGACGTAACTAACAGGCAGTACCTGGTTCTGGGAATGTGAGGGGAAGCCTGTCTGCTCAGGAGTCCCCTGCTGCTTTTCCTTTAGCCTGGAGCTCCCATCTCCCACATCAGCCAGTCTCAGACTGGTCTTGGGAACTGACAGCTTGAGAACTCAGTCTCGTCACAAATTGGATACTGCTTACCTGTGCATGAAGGAGAAAAAAACTAATTTTCTTAGAGAATAGGGTTTCATTTTTTTTTTTAGTGAGGGTGAGGGAAATGGGTAATAATTACACAAAACACAAAAGTCTGAAGATGTGGTAAACCTAGCCCTGGATATGGCTAAGTTAAGTTGGGAACCATTTGGCAAGATATAATTAGGAAAAAAAATGACCCCCAATCTTCTGAGTAATCAACTGACTATCCTTAATAATTATGTCACAGAGTAACACTGAAGTTTTGAACTCTACTTTTTAATGATTGGCTTTGTTCATCACTGAACTTTTGTTTTGTCTTTCTCTCCAGTTTCAGAAAATTACAGGTGATGCTACAATTCCTTTGCCTTTCGACTCCTTCCCTGTCCCAGTTTCTACTCAGGAAGCCACAGTAACGTCCAAAGACAACCTGGGAGTCCCGGCCACCGAGCAGCATGAGTCTTTTGAAGGATTCATTGCTAGAACATGTTCTCCTTTAGCAGAAGTGATTTCTGGGCCTGGAAGTCAAAGAAAAGATGAAGAGTTGTCCAGAAATAGCAGATCTTCAGAGAAAATGTCCAAAACAGGTGAATATACCAAAAAACACTCTGCTAAGAAACAACTTGGAAAGGACCTGCATTCCTACTCTGACTCTACTCCTATAAACTGGAAAAGCAAAGGAATCAGGGAAACTAGTTCTTTGGTTAATGAACCAGCTAAAAGTGAGTCTTTGAAAAAATACATTTCTGTCAAGAAAGAAAGTAGAATAGTGACTGTTTCATCCAAGACAAATAAAAGTAAACATAATCTACTAGAACATTCTGAAAATGATACTCTTGCATCTGATTTTGAATTTCAAGAAAGCATCCATTCTCTATCACACCTGACATAGGTCTAAATCTTTAGAAATTATGTTTTTACCTTCAAGTTTTAATAAATTAATAAAATTTTTTTATGTTTTCATTGTGGCATATGGTGTCTTGAAATATAGAATTTAAAGCCATTAAAGGAATATTTATATATACTTTTTATTATAATGGAACTTTTGGTGTATTTTTCCTTTTGATACTTTTCACCATTTATTCAACAAGTATTTACTGAGGGCGTAATATGTACAGAACTATTCTGGGTACTATGGCTTTGAGCAACAAACTAAGGAAAGACTTTACTCTTATGGAATTACTAATATTCTGTGGAGGGAGGGGGCCAAAAAAAAAAAAAAACAAAGCAGGGTAAGGGAAATAGAAAGGGCTGGGAGTGAATAAATGCAATAGTTTTACCATTTGGTTAAATGTGGAAATATAAATCCCATGGCCAGAAGCCATTATCCTAATTCATAACCAGAGCAGCAAACATGTACCTTGGTGCTCAACCATGTTTATGGATTACAGCAACCCTATCAGGTAGGGAGCTATTTTTTACATCCATTTTATAGATGAGGAGTCTGAGGAGACAGACTATGTGAATTGCCCAAAGTTGCAAAGCTATAAATAGGTGCTAGAGCTGGGATTCGAACCAGAACCCATGCTCTTAATCACTTAGTCATCCTGTTTATCCTGTTTTTCTGTTAAGAGAGGAGTGGCTCAAGGAAGATGCTGAGAGAAAAGCCAATGAACACTGGATGTGCAAAAGAGTGGGCTGTCAGGAAGCACACCTGTACCCTACCTACCCCATCAGGTAGAATTTTTAAAAGGCAGAGTATGTAAGGGTAGGAACGCACATCTCTGGACTAAATTATCCTCCGTGGTAGGACATGCCTAGAGAAGGCCTTTCTTACAATCGGGCTATGACTTGAGAGGTGAGATCTGAGAAAAGCCGGAGTGTCCGATTTCTTCCTGACAGTCCTGTCTGGCTGTTATCAAAGGGCTACTGTAACGCTCTGGAGTTCATTAATCGGAGTGACTGTTATGAGAATTAAGCACGTTGAGCTGAACTGCTTGTGTGTCTTCCTTCCTCACTCTACTGTTAAAGGGCCTAGATCACGTCTTGCTCCCACCTTGTTTCCTCTTCTCAACCAAACTCCTTCAAGGAGTTTAGCTAACTCAGTTCAAAAACTTCAAGATTTCTCATTGAGTTAACTAAAGAGGAAATTTGTAGAATAAGGGGGACTTTAATGTTAGTAAGGGGAAAGGAAGGAACCAAGTAAAGAATAGCAAGAGGCTCATTTATGCAGCAGGACCTCAGGCAAGGTGGGAGCAAGATGTGACTAGGTCCTTTAGCAGCAGAGTGAAGAGGGAAGTCGCAAGCAGGTCAGCTCACTGTGTTACGTTTCCTGATGGGAATACTGAGGGAATTCCGTCAGTGTTTGGGAAGGAAGGATAGCTGTGGGGCCGAGAAAGCTCATCTACACAGACTAAAGGTCATCGAAAGGTTTTCTAAAGAGGTCATTTTAATACCTAAGTTAAGTCTTAAAGAGCTAGTTAGAAGCTGGTGAGTGAGGAGATGAAGGGAAAGGAGACTCAGGGCAGAGGGAACAGCATGAACAGAAGTACAGAGCCGTGACTGGTGAGTTTGGGGAGCCACATGCCAGTCGTTTAGTTACAGGATTGTCATCAGGCAATGGCAGGTGATGTTGTAGCGGGCAGCCTGGAGAATGACAGCAGGTCTTAACATCTGCGGTGAGTGGAGCTGGTTCCTTTTCCTCAGGAAATGGTGAGCTAATAAAGAATAGAAATGGCACACTCAGGTTGGCATTTTAGATCACCAGCTTCAGTATTAAAGAAGCATGGAGATCAGTTTTTCACTTTCTGCTGAGGGGCATTGGTCTTTGACTTTTAAATGGGACTTATGCTCCCACTTCCTCTGCTGTTCCTAAAGGGTTTTGTGGATAAACATAAAGGAGACTCTGGCTTAGATAAAATTAAGCAGGTTTCTTTATTGTAAGACTTCTCAGGGCTGCTGTAGGCTAACGTTCATTCTGAATCCTCAAGAGTGGCATATGGTATGCTGCCCTTCTCAAATATATTTGATTATACAAGTCTTTTTAATAGAAGTACTTAACAACTGGTTCCACCAAACACCAATTTGGTAACTTCTGAATTAGGCAACAGCAAGAAGAGAAGGGGTCTGAAATAAGGTATAGATGAAGGAAGGAAATTAGTTTGATTCTTAGGAAATAAAACAAGCAAGACTTAGTAACTGGTTATGGGAAGTAAGGAAGGAGTAGGAGGCAGAGGGTGGATTCCACTGACTAAGGTTGGGTGGTGGTGGTACCNAAAGGTCATCGAAAGGTTTTCTAAAGAGGTCATTTTAATACCTAAGTTAAGTCTTAAAGAGCTAGTTAGAAGCTGGTGAGTGAGGAGATGAAGGGAAAGGAGACTCAGGGCAGAGGGAACAGCATGAACAGAAGTACAGAGCCGTGACTGGTGAGTTTGGGGAGCCACATGCCAGTCGTTTAGTTACAGGATTGTCATCAGGCAATGGCAGGTGATGTTGTAGCGGGCAGCCTGGAGAATGACAGCAGGTCTTAACATCTGCGGTGAGTGGAGCTGGTTCCTTTTCCTCAGGAAATGGTGAGCTAATAAAGAATAGAAATGGCACACTCAGGTTGGCATTTTAGATCACCAGCTTCAGTATTAAAGAAGCATGGAGATCAGTTTTTCACTTTCTGCTGAGGGGCATTGGTCTTTGACTTTTAAATGGGACTTATGCTCCCACTTCCTCTCCTGTTCCTAAAGGGTTTTGTGGATAAACATAAAGGAGACTCTGGCTTAGATAAAATTAAGCAGGTTTCTTTATTGTAAGACTTCTCAGGGCTGCTGTAGGCTAACGTTCATTCTGAATCCTCAAGAGTGGCATATGGTATGCTGCCCTTCTCAAATATATTTGATTATACAAGTCTTTTTAATAGAAGTACTTAACAACTGGTTCCACCAAACACCAATTTGGTAACTTCTGAATTAGGCAACAGCAAGAAGAGAAGGGGTCTGAAATAAGGTATAGATGAAGGAAGGAAATTAGTTTGATTCTTAGGAAATAAAACAAGCAAGACTTAGTAACTGGTTATGGGAAGTAAGGAAGGAGTAGGAGGCAGAGGGTGGATTCCATTGAGGTTGGGTGGTGGTGGTACTGCAAGACTTAGTAACTGGTTATGGGAAGTAAGGAAGGAGTAGGAGGCAGAGGGTGGATTCCACTGACTAAGGTTGGGTGGTGGTGGTACCGAGGTTAGAAATACGGGATAAAAAACCACTTTGGAAGAAGAGTATAGTTTTGGACATGTTGAATTTTAAAGCATCTGTAGAATTCAGGAGGAGATGACTGGTAGATGATTGGATATACACGTGAAGACATGGAAAAAAAATTGAAAGTTGTCAGCACATGTGAACAGTAGTTAAAATCATGCAAGTGGATGAGATCACAGAGAATTGGGACTGTCAAAGTTTAAGTGGTAATGAAAGAAAGGGTTCTGAGAAAGAGGCAAGTGATTGAGTTTCAAGAAGGAAGAAGTAGAATACAGTGTCATACTGCAGAGAATGTAAGTGTCCTTGGGATTTTGGCATTTAGGTCCCAGGTGACCTTAGAGCAATTCAGTGAATTGGTTGACAAGAAAGCCAGAATGCAGTAAGTTGAGGGGACAGGGCTGCCCTGAGGGGACTGAAGATAGTGGGTATGGACTACTCCTTGAAAGAGTTTGGATGAGAAGAGGCAACTGAGTTAGCTAAAGACAAAATTTTTAGAATAAGAGGGAATTAAATGTTAATAAGGTGAAAGGAAGGAGCCAACAAAAGAAAAGTAAGAGGCTCATTTAGGCAGCAAGATCTCAAGAAAGACGGGAGCATGATACATGTTAATACTCTCACGACTGAACACGTGGGGTTGTAGATGATTTGATCTCTCAATGAATTTGAGGTGGCTTACCTACATATGCAGTGCAAAATGGTTAGATAAGTAACTTAGAGAATCTGGGAAACAGACATGGATAAAAAAATAAAATCAAGGATGGGGGTCACATTGCAAAATGTACAAAAATGATTGTGTACTATTAAGAGTTAGAGGGAGATAAAGGTGGGAAGAGTTAGAAGTTAAATGAGTTTATACCTGATAACCTCAGTTTTTTTTAACCACAGATATTTAAAAGACAAACACACATACACATAATTATAGTTTTAAAATTCTTCCATATTTTATGTGTGTTTTATCAATCATTTAAAACTATTCCATAAAGAATATGGATATTTTGTTGCTTAATATGTACAATTTTAACCCTTTGAATGATTGTTAGTTAGACTTTTAAAACTATACCTGAAGCAATATCGTGTAATTGAAATACATTAATTTCATTTGGGTTAGAAAAGGTTTACAAGCATATTCCTTTACTGAGAAATTACCATGTATCTTTACTGACTGTTTATCAAAACATATACAACTTGTATGCAAACGGGACTTTTTTTTTTTTTTAAACAAGAGTGTCAGATATGCTCCTGTAGCAAAGAGCTTGTCATCTGCCT